ACCCCTGACGCTACACCTGTGGATGGGTGGGATGTGGTAAAAACATGTCTCAGCTATGGGGTTTTACTGCCCCCCAAACCACAAATATAAACAAGCCCTTATTGTCTTAAGCCCCCTATGAGGCTGATTTTACAACGATGCACTGCGGTTTACCTGTAGCACGGATGCAGCATAGTGCACCTGTGGTATTCCTGTGGGTTAGCTGAGCTTTTCCATAGACTTCTATTATATCTTGCGGGTGTGGTGCACGTTCTGAAAGTAATGGTGTAAACCTCCTGCGCTCTTAACTCAATTATGTGTAAATACTAATAAATAAATTCAATAGTGAATAAAGCTTCTAACTAAAGGAAGCTGCTGGCATCTAATCATATACCTTATGACAGATAAATAACCAGAAGTAAATGATGTAGCGCTACCTAAATTATTATAAATGAATAATAAATACAAATATGTGAACAGGATCAAAACCATGCAAACATAAGTGTTGAATACACAAATAAATAATTCAAGTGAAACTAAACCAAGTGTATAAAGTGAACCGATCCACTAGGGATCCAATGTGAACAAAGTGAACCGATCCACTACGGGATCCAATGTGATAACAATAACTTGTTGTGTACAAACAAAAAAACAATAAACAATGAAAAAATAAAAAGACGGTGTAAAGTGAACTGATCCACTTAGGAATCCAATGTGATAACCAGAAAGTGACAACTTCAACCAATACTGTGTTGAAATTATTAATAGTCCCTGGGGAAGTCACGTGATAAACATGATGCAACGCGTAGCAATGTGGTGACGCATTTCTGGCGTGGACGCCATCTTGCTACACCAAACCCATGCAAGTACACCCATAGCACGAGGTTTAAATGCTTGTTTACTGCTGTGAAAATGTGAGTCAGAAATTGGGACATTTTTATCACTTTTATATTAATTAAAGAGGTTTTACACTATGGGAGATTCTTTTTATGTCTTTCAATGAGAATTGGCTATAACATATCTATATTTACCTGGAGAGGATCCCACCACCGTAAACGCATATTACTGAAGGGAACATCGTCGCTGGGAGAGGTTTTCATCTGCAGAAGAGTCTCTTTACATGGAAGATCTTGTTTGGTGATCCTACAGGTGTTTTGACCCATGCGGGGCGTGGCAAGGAGGTGAGGGGGCATTTCAGCTGTCTTTGGATATCTTCGTTGTTACACACATCCACTTTTCACCTTCACGTTTGCCTGAGCTATTGGATTGCTTGGTGTTTACGCACCAGTTTGGACTTTTTATTTTTTTATTATGCGTTTATATTCAATTTATATTTACACAATTCTTATTAGGTTTTGCACCTTGTGATTTTTTTCTCTTCTGTGTTTTCCATTATTTGTCACTTGGTATTTTTTTATTAGGTTTTACACTATTTATGCTTGTCATTAGATCTTTTATTAGAGCTTTATCCTTCATCACTTTCCAATTTATGGGCGAGTGATGTTTCGTATGTAATATTGGGGTTTTGTGTGATATTAAGGGGTTTCCCTTGACACCTTTGTTGTCCTCTCCACTCTCGTTCTTTAGTCCCATTTGGAGAGTGTTCATCTTTAGTCCCATTTGGACTATTATTAATTTCAACACAGTATTGGTTGAAGTTGTCACTTTCTGGTTATCACATTGGATCTCTGAGTGGATCAGTTCACTTTACACTGTCTTTTTATTTTTTCATCGTTTATTGATTTTTTGTTTGTACACAAGTTATTGTTATCACATTGGATCCCTGAGTGGATCACTTCACTTTACACCGTCTTTTTATTTTTTCATTGTTTATTGGTTTTTTGTTTGTACACAAGTTATTGTTATCACATTGGATCCCGTAGTGGATCGGTTCACTTTGTTCACAATGGATCCTTAGTGGATTGGTTCACTTTATACACTTGGTTTAGTTTCACTTGAATTATTTATTTGTGTGTTCAACACTTATGTTTGCATGGTTTTGATCCTGTTCACATATTTGTATTTATTGTTCATTTATAATAATTTAGGTAGTGCTACATCATTTACTTCGGGTTATTTATCTGTCATAACGTTCTGAAAGTGCACCAAACCTGCAGGATATAATAATAATTATTATTACAGTATTTATATAGCACTGTCAATTTAGGTAGCACTATATTGTACATTCACATCAGTCCCTGCCCCCAAGGAGCTTACAATCTAATGTCCCAACAATTCATACATGCTAGGGCCAATTTAGACAAGATCCCTGCTTTGAGGTCGATGGCCATATCAGAGGGTTCTGAGGGCCACAAGTTAAGCACCCTGACCTAGAGGGAGACTGCTGAAACAAGGGCATTAGGTGAGTAAAACTGCTTTTTTGGGAACAACCAGCATTAAACCTTTGCAGTGTGAGGGCAGGATTTTTGTTTTCCCCAAATTTCAGATCTAGCCCAGGGGTGCCCAACCTGTGGCCCTTGCAGCACTCTTGTTCTGATGTGGCCCTCGACCTACAACCAGGGAAGAGCAAGTTTGGAGTCGGCAACCCATAGATCGAGACCTGGGCTTGCCGACCCGCCTTCTCAGAGTATTGGAGTGCGTCGAGTCGGCTCCAGCAGTGGAGGAAGCAGGCGGCCGTGGAGAGAGCAGGAGCAACATAAGCAGATGCTTCCTCTGTAGCTCTGGTTCCTGTCCCACGTAGAGTGATACCGAGTGCACTTCACCTGGGACCTCTCTAGCAGCCTGGAGAGCAATGCCAGCAGAAGCTGGAAGAGGAAAAAAAGCTCAGTGTATTAAACAACACATACTCTGTGCTTTTGCATTGGGAATATTTAAGGTTATGCACTTAGGGGCTAAGAATATGCATGCATCATACATACTAGGGGGGTACAACTGGGGGAATCAATGGTGGTGAAGTATCTGGGGGTTCTGGTAGATCACAAGCTTAATAATGGCATGCAATGCCAAGCGGCGGTTTGTAAACTGAGCAAAATCCTCTCTTGCATTAAAAGAGGTATAGACTCCAGAGAGAGAGATATCACATTACCCTGGTACAAATCATTAGTAACACCTCATCTGGAATATGCAGTTCAGTTTTGGGCACCAATTCACAAAAAGAACATTGGGGAAGTGGAGAAAGTACAGAACAGGGCAACCAAACTGATACGAGGCATGGAGGAGCTCAGCTGTGAGGAAAGATTAGAGGAACTGAATTTATTCTCTCTTGAGAAGAGGAGATTAAGGGGGGATATGATCAACATGTATAAATACATCAGTGGTTCATATAGTGAACTCGGTGTAGAGCTATTCACCCTGAGGTCATCACAGAGGACAAGGGGGCACTCTTTACGTCTCCAGGAAAAGAAATTTAATCTCCAAACATGGAAAGGTTTCTTCACAGTGAGAGCTGTGAAAATGTGGAATAGACTCCCTCAAGAGTTGGTTCTGGCCAGCTCAGTGGATTGCTTCAAAAAAGGCCTGGATTGTTTCTTAGATACACAGAATATAACTGGATACTAACATTTATAGGTAAAGTTGATCCAGGGAATATCTAATTGCCTCTCGGGGGATCAGGAAATATTTTATTTCCCTGCAGGAGCAAATTGGGTCATGCTTTGCTGTTTTTTTTTTTTTTTTTTTCCTCTGGATCAACTGTGGGTATAGGATTATAACTTTTTTTTTTTTTTATGGTTAAACTGGATGGATTTTTTTTCTTTTTTCAGCCAGACTAACTATGTAATTATATTTACACCTATTAAAGGGTTAACAACTATTAGGCTGCTTACACACTGATCCTCAGGTGCAGCGCAGTACATCTGTGGCTTTCCCGCGGGTCAGTGACACTGAGCCATAGACTTTTATTATATCCTGTGTGTTTTCAGAAAGTGCACCACACCCACAAGATATAATATATATGGCAAAGCGCAGCTAATCTGCAGGAAAGCTGCAGTAAAATGCAGTACATCAGTGTGAAGGCAGCCTTATAGAGGGGTCAGGGCAGTAAGGGCTCGTTTACATCTGCAGTTGGATGGGCGGTAAAACCCTATAGTTGAGATGTTTTTAACCACACCCCCAACCACTGGTATAGCGTCCAGGATCATAAAGGAAACCCACCCCATACTTCGGGGGCCCGTGTGGCCTGCCTGTCACATTCTGTTTTACACTTGGACAGGAAGGGTGGCGGGTACGACATATACAGGGACTGATCTTCTCCATTTTCCTCCTGCAGACTCTGAAATCCATCTTCTCCTCCTCAGCCGAAGAGTAAGCACCTCTGAACTAGCCTAGTTACAAAGGGTAGGCTAGATCCTGTGCCATGATGTGACTTAATGATTTAAAGGAGAGAAACCTAGGAGCTGCTATTGCTGGTTTCATTTTGAAAATGCTAACTGCTTGGCTGTCATACTGATCAGATGACTTTCATATGTACAGTGACTGAGCTGCAGCTAATGAAGTCAGATCTCTGGTGGGCACACAGATCCCAGGCTTGTGACTTATACAGTACTGAAACGTTGGATCAGCATGGCAGCCAGGAAAAACTAGCATTCACAAGAGAAGCCATCGATGACAGCCTCCAGTTCAGTGAACCATGATGACAGCCCAGAGCTGACCCTGAACTGACAAGGTCACCACACTAGGAGTCTTGGGTAGGGCGATGTAAGGGCTTCCTCCTGTGCTGCCAGTCTCCACCCCTCCTCTTCCACCTAGTGGGCATCGCCTTCCCTGGCCAGGTGAGCGCCCAGGCTGCCTACATTTAACCCCTGCCCCGCTGGCTCCATGTCCTACCTACGATCTGACAAATACAGGCTGGAGACGGAAGAGAAGTGCTGGAATTCATGATTAGTTAGCCTGCACTGGGCGCATGTCACTCCCTCCCCCTCTAGAAGGCCAGGCATCGAGGCGCATACTTCCCCAAGGCTGCATGTCCCTTTAATGCTGCTGCAGGTTGACATCGTGACGTCACCCCCAGTGAGGGGCTGCCAGGGAGGAGGGAAGGGGAGAGCAGCATCTGCTGAGCAGCGATGGCAGAGCACAGGGAGCGAGGGAGGACACACAGGGCGCACGATGGAGCCGCACAGGTACCTGGCACCCCTCCCCGATCACCTGATGACAGCTCTCCTCTGCACACAGCCAGATGACAGGCTGGATCATGTGTACTGCTGGACTCATCACACTGATATGTCTGCCTACACAGCAGCGCTTCCCTCCTTCTATTACATGTACACAGTCAGGATCAGGCAGAACATCTGGGGACGGGAAAGTCGCTGATAATGGCAGCTTCTAGAATTGGCAGGATAGCCTTGGTCTGTTCCATGTGCATAGTCTAGAACTGGCAGGATAGCCTTGGTGTATTACATGTGTATATTCTAGAATTGGCAGGATAGCCTTGGTCTATTACATGTGTATATTCTAGAATTGGCAGGATAGCCTTGGTCTATTACATGTGTATATTCTAGAATTGGCAGGATAGCCTTGGTCTGTTCCATGTGTATATTCTAGAATTGGCAGGATAGCCTTGGTCTATTACATGGCTATATTCTAGAATTGGCAGATAGCCTTGGTCTATTACATGTGTATATTCTAGAATTGGCAGGATAGCCTTGGTCTATTACATGTGTATATTCTAGTATTGGCAGGATAGCCTTGGTCTGTTCCATGTGTATATTCTAGAATTGGCAGGATAGCCTTGGTCTGTTACATGTGTATATTCTAGAACTGGCAGGATAGCCTTGGTCTATTACATGTGTATATTCTAGTATTGGCAGGATAGCCTTGGTCTATTACATGTGTATATTCTAGAATTGGCAGGATAGCCTTGGTCTATTACATGTGTATATTCTAGAATTGGCAGGATAGCCTTGGTCTGTTCCATGTGTATATTCTAGAATTGGCAGGATAGCCTTGGTCTATTACATGGCTATATTCTAGAATTGGCAGGATAGCCTTGGTCTGTTCCATGTGTATATTCTAGAACTGGCAGGATAGCCTTGGTCTGTTACATGTGTATATTCTAGATATTGGCAGGATAGCCTTGGTCTGTTATATGTGTATATTCTAGAATTGGCAGGATAGCCTTGCCTTGGTCTATTACATTTGTATATTCTAGAATTGGCAGGATAGCCTTGGTCTATTACATGTGTATATTCTAGAATTTGGCAGGATAGCCTTGGTCTGTTATATTCTAGAATGTATATTCTAGAATTGGCAGGATAGCCTTGGTCTGTTACATTCTAGAATATATTCTAGTGTAATTCTAGAATTGGCAGGATAGCCTTGGTCTATTACATGTGTATATATTCTAGAATTGGCAGGATAGCCTTGGTCTATTGTGTATATGTGGCAGGATATTCTAGAATTTCTAGCAGGATAGCCTTGGTCTGTTACATGTGTATATTCTAGAATTGGCAGGATATATTCTAGAATTGGTCTTGTTACATGTGTGTATTCTAGAATTGGCAGGATAGCCTTGGTCTGTTATATGTGTATATTCTAGAATTGGCAGGATAGCCTTGGTCTATTACATGTGTATATTCTAGAATTGGCAGGATAGCCTTGGTCTGTTACATGTGTATATTCTAGAACTGGCAGGATAGCCTTGGTCTGTTACATGTGTATATTCTAGAATTGGCAGGATAGCCTTGGTCTGTTTACATGTGTATATTCTAGAATTGGCAGGATAGCCTTGGTCTATTACATGTGTATATTCTAGAATTGGCAGGATAGCCTTGGTCTATTACTATGTGTATATTCTAGAATTGGCAGGATAGCATGTGTATATTCTAGAATTGGCAGGATATGCCTTGGTCCTTGGTCTATTACATGTGTATATTCTAGAATTGGCAGGATAGCCTTGGTCTATTACATGTGTATATTCTAGAATTGGCAGGATAGCCTTGGTCTATTACATGTGTATATTCTAGAATTTGCAGGATAGCCTTTCCATGTGTATATTCTAGAATTAGGATATGTGTATATTCTAGAATTGGCAGGATAGCCTTGGTCTGTTACATGTGTATATTCTAGAATTGGCAGGATAGCCTTGGTCTATTACATGTGTATATTCTAGAATTGGCAGGATAGGCAGGATATTCTAGCCTTGGTCTTTTATGTGTGTATATTCTAGAATTGGCAGGATTGCCTTGGTCTGTTATATGTGTATATATATTCTAGAATTGGCAGGATAGCCTTGGTCTGTTACATGTGTGTATTCTAGAATTGGCAGGATAGCCTTGGTCTATTACATGTGGATATTCTAGAATTGGCAGGATAGCCTTGGTCTTACATGTGTATATTCTAGAATTGGCAGGATTGCCTTGGTCTATTACATGTGTGTATATTCTAGAATTGGCAGGATAGCCTTGGTCTATATTACATGTGTATATTCTAGAATTGGGCAGGATAGCCTTGGTCTATTATTACATGTGTATATTCTAGAATTGACTAGATTGCCTTGGTCTATTACATGTGTATATTCTAGGGCAGCCTTGGTCTATTACATGTGTATATTCTAGAATTGGCAGGATAGCCTTGGTCTATTACATGTGTATATTCTAGAATTTGTAGCCTTGGTTTATTACATGGCTATATTCTAGAATTGGCAGGATAGCCTTGGTCTATTACATGTGTATATTCTAGAATTGGGATAGCATTACATGGATAGCCTTGGTCTATTACATGTGTATATTCTAGAATTGGCAGGATAGCCTTGGTCTATTACATGTGTATATTCTAGAATTTGCAGGATAGCCTTGGTCTGTTACATGTGTATATTCTAGATTGGCAGGATTGCCTTGGTCTGTTAACATGTGTATATTCTAGAATTGGCAGGATAGCCTTGGTCTATTACATGTGTATATTCTAGAAGTGGCAGGATAGCCTTGGTCTTTTATATGTGTATATTCTAGAATTGGCAGGATTGCCTTGGTCTGTTATATGTGTATATTCTAGAATTGGCAGGATTGCCTTGGTCTGTTACATGTGTGTATTCTGGAATGGCAGGACAGCCTTGGTCTATTATATGTGGATATTCTAGAATTGGCAGGATAGCCTTGGTCTATTACATGTGTATATTCTAGAATTGGCAGGATAGCCTTGGTCTATTACATGGCTATATTCTAGAATTGGCAGGATATCCTTGGTCTATTACATGTGTATATTCTAGAATTGGCAGCATAGCCTTGGTCTATTCCATGTGTATATTCTAGAATTGGCAGGATAGCCTTGGTCTATTACATGTGTATATTCTAGAATTTGCAGGATAGCCTTGGTCTGTTACATGTGTATATTCTAGAAATGGCAGGATTGCCTTGGTCTATTACATGTGTATATTCTAGAATTGGCAGCATAGCCTTGGTCTATTACATGTGTATATTCTAGAATTGGCAGGATAGCCTTGGTCTATTACATGTGTATATTCTAGAATTTGCAGGATAGCCTTGGTCTGTTACATGTGTATATTCTAGAATTGGCAGGATTGCCTTGGTCTGTTAACATGTGTATATTCTAGAATTGGCAGGATAGCCTTGGTCTATTACATGTGTATATTCTAGAAGTGGCAGGATAGCCTTGGTCTTTTATATGTGTATATTCTAGAATTGGCAGGATGCCTTGGTCTGTTATATGTGTATATTCTAGAATTGGCAGGATTGCCTTGGTCTGTTACATGTGTGTATTCTGGAATTGGCAGGACAGCCTTGGTCTATTATATGTGGATATTCTAGAATGGCAGGATAGCCTTGGTCTATTACATGTGTATATTCTAGAATTGACAGGATTGCCTTGGTCTATTACAAGTGTATATTCTAGAATTGGCAGATAGCCTTGGTCTATTACATGTGGATATTCTAGAATTGGCAGGATAGCCTTGGTCTATTACATGTGTATATTCTAGAATTTGCAGGATAGCCTTGGTTTATTACATGGCTATATTCTAGAATTGGCAGGATAGCCTTGGTCTATTACATGTGTATATTCTAGAATTGACAGGATAGCCTTGGTCTATTACATGTGTATATTCTAGAATTGGCAGGATAGCCTTAGTCTATTACATGTGGATATTCTAGAATTGGCATGATAGCCTTGGTCTATTACATGTGTATATTCTAGAATTGACAGGATAGCCTTGGTCTATTATATGTGTATATTCTAGAATTGGCAGGATAGCCTTGGTCTGTTACATGTGTATATTCTGCAACTGGCAGGCTAGTGTAAGTGCATGACATCTGTTTATTCTGGAACTGGCAGGCTAACATTGGTGCTTTACATGTGCATATTTTGGAGCTAGTAGACTAGCCTTAGTACATAACATCTGTATATTTTGGGAGGGGAACTGTTATGCTCACCCTGGTGTATTTCATGTCTATAATCTGGACATGGTAGGCTAGTCTTGGTCTATTACATATGTATATCCTTGGACTAGAAGGCTGGTCTTGGTGTATTGAATTTGTAGATTCTGGATGTGGTAGGCTAGCCTTCAAGCTTGGTGTATTCGATGTGTATATCTTTGAAGGAGTAGGCTAGCCTTGTTGTATTGAATTTGTATATTATGGATCTGGTAGGCTAGTCTTCAAGCCTTGGTGTATTCTATGTGTATATCTATGAGGGAGTAGGCTAGCCTTGTTGTATTGAATTTGTATATTATGGATCTGGTAGGCTAGTCTTCAAGCCTTGTTGTATTCTATGTGTATATCTATGAGGGAGTAGGCTAGCCTTGGTGTATTGAATTTGTAGATTCTGGATCTGGTAGGCTAGCCTTCAAGCCTTGGTGTATTCTATGTGTATATCTATGAAGGAGTAGGCTAGCCTTGTTGTATTGAATTTGTAGATTCTGGATCTGGTAGGCTAGCCTTCAAGCCTTGGTGTATTCTATGTGTATATCTATGAAGGAGTAGGCTAGCCTTGGTGTATTGAATTTGTAGATTCTGGATCTGGTAGGCTAGCCTTCAAGCCTTGGTGTATTCTATGTGTATATCTATGAAGGAGTAGGCTAGCCTTGTTGTATTGAATTTGTATATTCTGGATGTGGTAGGCTAGCCATCAAGCCTTGGTGTATTCTATGTGTATATCTACGAAGGAGTAG